CTAAAGGAAACAGCCTTTTAAACAGCCTTTTGAAAAGGCTAGGAGAAAACCTTGCACTGAAAGAGTTTAAAAGTTCAGGCAGTTTTAAACACCAAAAACTTGGTTCTGTTACAATGTAGGGTCAGGCTGTCTGGATACGATGTTTGCTTTCTCTTCTGGTAGCAGCATTTAAAGCAACTCTGCTCTGCACGCATCCCATGATGTGCCCAGTGGTTCCCAGCTGCAGTGGCTTAAAACGCCTGTTCACAGGCTCAAGGAAGGCGCCCTGCCAGCCTCATCAGAGTCCCTGCTGATGCTGGGAAAAGCACTCTCCCCAAAGAGCATCAGAAGAGAAATGGCCGCCACTGTTAGAGCTATTGTTATCTTCTGATAACATCTGTGTTGTTGGCAGGGCCAAGGAGGGGAGTATGTAGGAAGCTGATTCAAGAACAGAGAGAAAGAGAAAATAACAATTTCCACAGCACTGAAGCAATTAGATGAAAACATCCTGAAAACTAGTGGCTCTTCCGACTCCTCTGTGTGTGTGTGTGTGTGTGTGTGTGTGTGTGTGTGTGTATGTAGCAGTGAAGTGCCGGAAGACCACTCCTCCTGGGAGATGCTTCCAGCCCCTAGGGCTACACTGTCACCTATTCAAAGGGCATTTCCCCTTTGAGAGAGGGAGGCCCACAACTTTTCTCTCATCTAAAACATGGATCCTGAATTAGAGGGGCAGTTTGAAAGCCAATGCTTTAGAAAATTAATGAATGAGACATTATATGTAGATGTTTAAAAAAGTTCCCTGCCGTTTGTTTGTTTTGATAATTTTCACTGAGGAATGTAAGCATTTTTTGGTTGAATAAATATAGTTAGGTCCAATTTCTGAAACATAAGGTAATTTAAAAATATAATAGATTAGTAATGGAATCAATATCACTGTTACTTTTTACTTAGAATATACCATCTATTTGAACACTAATATGTACAATTTTTTTCAGATTTTAACAAAGTATGTATTTTAATTCTTTGGCATTTAAAGGAATGTGTTTTCCTGTGGCAAGAACCCATTGTCAGAATTATTAGCCAATACTAAAAACAATGAAACATGCCACTTCTTGCCAAGGTGATATACAAAGTTGCTTCCTGCCTCCCACAGCCCTGCAAAAAAGAAACTGACGGACAATACCTTTGCTCAGGCTCCTATACTCTCTCTTCCTCTCCCCTTTCCCCCCTACATCTCATAAAGGCTCTTTCTTGACTGTGCAGTGTTATACACATAGGAAATTTATCCTTGTGTACCCACGGTATTTTTTTCCGTTTGTTTTCTCTTCCAGCATTTGATTACTGGCTGGTGAACTGTTTGGGCCCACAGAGATCTCTAGACCACCAGCTCATGTATTTGAAAGGCATCTGTTTATTTTGAAAATGCAAATGTGGCCTACCTCAAAGACTGACAAGCAAGAAATGACCCACTGAGTGGGGGGAGAGGTTTCCAGTCTGGAGCCCTGTCCCTCCCTCGATCACACCAAGACCACTGGCTGTCAGAACCACTTAAACCTGCTCCTGGAATCTGAGTGAAGGGCCCACGATTAAAAATGAGCAGGCCTATCTCTCAATAATTAGCCAGGCAGATCATTTCTCACTCAGTTTAAAGTAATGATGAGGACATTTACCAAGGACTCTGAGCCTTTGAAATGGTGGCTCCTAGACTGAGGGCTGCCTGGAGGAGGGCCTGATAACAAGGACACAGAGTTCCTAATGGTGGCCGCCCAGTCCTCACGAGGAGAAAGCCTGGGAAGGTTAATTCCCTGACTTTGATGTCTGTCAAGGCATACCAGCAAGAATTAATTTACATTTCAGATGAAAAAGGTTGACAGCATGAAAAGGCATCTTGTTTCTGGTATGTGAATGTGCCGTAATAGATCGGGAATTCTGAAAGGAAGTTCTGAGGAAGCTAAAGGGATAAGCCGCACGGCTGCTTTTATTGGGAAGGAGATGAAAGGAAAACAAATTTCAATATGCGCTGCTCTGTAGCAACATGTAGGCCAAATGCTTCCTAAATTTCAAGGGCTGCTCTTTTAAAAATATATAACGTATCTTAGCAATCTTAGCAACACCACTTAAGAAAATACTATGGGCCAGAACTAGAAATACAAATGCATTCCACAGAATCTAAATTTCCAATGAAATGATTTGAAAAAATAATAAATTACAGAATAACCTTAGAAAACAACCGGAAATGGTTGTGCTATGATAACATCCCTAAGCCACTTCCTGCAGGCTCCCAAAGCAGGGAGCTGCTGTATCTGGGTCTCGTTCTACTTGGAAATGTCCTAGTGGGACGAAGAGAGGCTTGTAATAAGATTATGTTTGGGGAAGAGCACAACCCCAAACAGAAAAGTCAGGATGAGTTGCTTTGCTCCTTTTTTTTTTTTTTGAGACGGAGTCTCGCTCTGTCGCCCAGGCTGGAGTGCAGTGGCCAGATCTCAGCTCACTGCAAGCTCCGCCTCCTGGGTTCCCGCCATTCTCCTGCCTCAGCCTCCCAAGTAGCTGGGACCACAGGCGCCGCCACCTCGCCCAGCTAATTTTTTGTGTTTTTTTAGTAGAGACGGGGTTTCGCCGTGTTAGCCAGGATGGTCTCGATCTGCTGACCTTGTGATCCGCCCGTCTCGGCCTCCCAAAGTGCTGGGATTACAGGCTTGAGCCACCGCGCCCGGCCTGCTTTGCTTCTTAGATAAATGCAATTATGCCTTCAAATGTAAAGATAGGGAAAATATTTCCAAGTAAAAGTAAACTGCCCATAAAATTGCAAACATTGCTACCCTATCCATGCACCTTTACCACCAACACAAAACCAGCATACCAATTCCTGTCCACGGTGTTGGCCGAAGGGCAGATGCTGTCTGCCTTTGCTCTGGCTGCCACACCACTTCTTAGAGGGTAGAGGTGGTGTTGGTGCCGCCTTCATGCCCATCTAAGCCCCTGCAGACTCAGTTAATGGAAGTTCTCAACATCACTTGATAGGCAAGAACACTTTGGCTGCAAGGCTAAGAAAGGGGAGGTGCTCGCAAGGCTAAAAAAAAAAGGAGACGCCCTTAAAGAAATGTGTTCTCTAAAGTTTCACTGGGTGCTTGCAAGGCTAAAAAACAAAAAAAGAGAGAGATGCCCTTAAAGAAGTATGTTTTTTATAGTTCCGCTGAGCAACATTATCCTTCCATGGTAGCTACCCCATAGGTGCTCCCCTGAAAAGATACAATTATTACTATCCTGATAGTATGATGATGAAGCAGACCCATTTCTGTTTTACAGCAGCGTTCACTTGGCATGAACAGAGTGCAAAACAGGGAGCACTCTAAAGACGATTTTCACTTAGGGAAAATGGATTTATGATTCCTAATACTGAACTCAGTGGATCAACAATAAATACGCTCAAAAAAGTTTAAATTTTAAAACGCATGTTGGGCTTTGTACCAAACTGCAAGATCAGAAATCAGTTCGGTACCTTCGTTTAATGAGAGACTCTGTGTGTGTGTGTGTGTGTGTGTGTGTGTGTGTGTGTGTGTGTATGTAGCAGTGAAGTGCCGGAAGACCACTCCTCCTGGGAGATGCTTCCAGCCCTTCATAAAGGAGAAAACTGATTCCAAATTGGAGGCTCTAACCACTGGTGTCCTCTGAAGTTATAATATCGAGTCCTACTGTTGCACAAAGGTTTC